GACTTAAGGATAAGATAAGCAATATTATTAGATGTAATTGTCCTATAAATTCAACCCCTTAAATAACTCCCAAATCTTTCTTCTGTGCTTCACCTCTACTCCCACAATCACAGATCAGTCTCCTTCTGATGTGAACCAGCCCATCAGCTTTCCCTAGTCTCTTGGGAGTCACCTTAATCGCTTGGATTCTACCTTCCATACAGGCAATGGGACTGTATTTCTACAATCTTCATTCACGTCACACCTATGGTTAAATTATTCAGTGATATTGCTAATGTAAGAAAAAGTTCAAACTCATTAGCAGGGACTAAAAGACACTTCTCCATCTCATCAGTCTATTTTTTTAGATTAATTTTCCATTATTTCCCCAACACCAGACAACTCTGTATTTTTCTCTAAACTCTGGGTCTGTATATGACTATTCTCAAATCATCTAACTGTGAACTCCTGCTCCTCCTTCAGAGTTCAGTTCAGGTATCTTCAGTTTTGTGAGCCTTCTCTGCCTCCACGATATGGAACTGATTGCAATCCTAAAGTATATATATTGTGCACTCCCCATACTATAGTGAGATATTTGTTTCATGTGTCTTTTTTTCCCACTGTTCTGTAAGATCCTTAACTCAACAATGCTGTAATTCTCAACCTTGCATTTCCAACACCTAGTACAGTATTTAGCATATAGAAAATTTTCATAAAAGAAACAAAATAGAGTATCACAAATGTATATATTCAGTCTTGCTGTCCCTTACAAAACACTAACTTGCAAATGTCCAGATGATTCTTGAATATTTTTACTTGAGTGTCTTTGCTCTTTTCCTGTTTAAAAATTAATTTATCAAAAAATCCGTACATGGATGTTTACAGCAGTTTTATTCATAATTGCTAAAACTTAGAAGCAACAAAAATGTCTTCATTCAGTAGGCGAATGAATAAATAACTTGTGGCACATCGGATAATGGAATATTATTCAGTGCTAAAAAGAAATGTGCTAGCAAGCCATGATAAGACATGGAGGAAAATTAAATGCACATTAGCAGGTGAAAGAAGCCAATCTGAAAAGGCTACATACTGTACGATTTCAACTATACGACATTTTGGAAAAAGCAAAACTGTGAAGACAGTAAAAGATCAGTGGTTGCCGGACATTAAGTGGGGGAGGGATGAACAGATAGAGCACTAAGGGTTTTCACAGCAGTGAAACCACTCTGGATGGTACGGCAGTGGTGGATACCTGTCATTAGACATTTGTCCAATAGCTCTTTCTGTATCTGCACACAGAGTTTACAACACCAAGAGTGAGTCCTAATGTAAACCATGAACTTGAGGGTGATAATTATGTGTCAATGTAGTTGCACCAGTTTAACAAATGTACCACTTTGGTGGGAGGTGTAGACAGCAGCTGAGGCTATGCATGTGTGGGGACAGGGGAAAATGGGAAATTATGTATTTTGTGCTCAATTTTGCTGTTGACCTAAAACTGATCTTAAAAAATAAAGTCTATTTAAAAATCCTCAATTTATCATCCTTTTATTGGACAATCATGTGTCAAGTAACTGCATCTTTTTATAGAGCATGCAATTCAGTGGGGCAGACTGATATTAAGCAAATTATCAGTGATACCAAGTGTAGGAATAGAGCAACTAGTTTTGAGGTTGGGTGAGGCTATGCTGACTACTGGAGAGGGGACTATTCTAAATAGCATACGTAGGGTCCCAGAGGAAGAGGAAATACAACGTATTTGAAGAACTCAGTTTCCTAACTGATAAGAGCTAGGAAAGAAAGTTGGTAATAGATGAGACAGGAGAGGTGAGGATGCGCTTACTAGATCATAAAGGACTTCATCAGCCCTGAGAAAGAGTTTGGAATTTTGCTTATGGGTGATGGATAGTCACTGAGAGGTTTTACACAAAGAGTTATAACATCTTTGGCTGTTCAATTTTCATCCCTTGTTGAGGGTACCTGACTTATCTTCTACCTCAATGAGTTGCAAACTGAAGACCCTGTTTCAGAAGCCTTGTAGTGTCTGGTAGGAGTATCTCTTCTGACATGTATTTTATATTTGAATTTAAACAGGCACAATTGAATGTGTTACAAATAACAATTCTTATATAGTAGAAAATATCATTGGTTAATCTTATATTACCATTAATTGACTAAGTACCAATAGGACCTGAAAAAAAATACATTGCTCTAAAACAAAGGCATTTTTATCTGCTTTATATGTTGGAGATCACAGTTAGATTTCATTTGAAGAAAAGGCTCTGTTGTTAAAAGGTTAGTAACTCACTGTCCAGTTGGACTTACTGTTTTTACTTTTTCCCATTTTCTAATCAGTCTTGCACATCACTTACATTTTCTGCCTATGAAAACATCAGAATTCTTGGAATAAAGCATTCATTTCACTTTATTCTGCCCATTAAATGTGTCAAAACCTCAACCTACCTTTTTGGATGGTTATTCCAGTTTCTCAACAAGAATCTTCTGCTCAAAATAAATTGTTTTGTTTTCTTCTTTCTTTGTACTTTTCCAACCTGGAGCATTAGTTTAAAGGATTCCTCCAATTTCACCTCTTATTCTTACAAATCCTTCAAGCTACAGGCTTAATCCCACATCTCTTACAAAGATTTCCCTGATGAGGCCAAGTGGCACTGATATATTACTCTTCTGAACTTGCACTGATAATATTTTTGCACATTTACTGGAAATTTGATTATACGCAGTTCTACGCCATTTCCAGAGTTGATTTCTTTAACTGTTGTCCAATGTATTTCAGTATTTAACCTTTCACATGTTCGTAGTATCTTCTCCTCAAGTGGATTTTAGCTACATTAATGACACTGAACTGTTCCTGGTTGGCTACACATGACATAATACCTTAAAACTAGTAGGTTATAAGCCTTTTTATTGATTTGAAATGAAAACTCACAAACTGCTTTATGAATAAGAATGTTTAGGTTTCTTTTCTTAACTTAATTTTAAATGCTATATTGTTAAGTCTAACAAAAATATATATAAGAAGCCTAACTTTTAAAAAGATTGCCCATTTTCAGTATGGAATATGTGTCCAGTTATACTTTGTCAATAGTTATAATTAAATTTATTTCATAAATGTTACAAAATAGTACAATTTTGTTCCATAAACTAGTACATGTACTTTCCTCACATAGACTTATTATCAGGGATGTTCTATGTTTGAATAAAGAAAGAACATTTATATATTCAATCTTTCAAATGGAAGTAGTCAAGTATCTCCTAAAATTTTCCTACTTTATAAATAGTAAACTATTCTTGCTTCCACTAATCTAAAGGGAACACATACATGGAATGAAAATACATACAGAACATAAGAGGAGGAAATAATATTATATGCATCATGTGTTAAGGTAACACAGAGAAAATTGTAATCAGTTGTACTCAGTCATTTGTGTAAGACGTGGAATAGAGAGAGAGAGAGAGAGTGAGAGAATAAAAGCACGTCTAGGAGAACGTGAGAGAATAGATGAAACAAATCTGGGACACAGTGCATGTTATACGATGGGGAGACATGCTCATCACCACTGAGGCATTCATGTCTTAATTCATTCCAGAACAACAGATACTTAGGTTTCAAGCATTTTCTGAAAGGTAAGAAAGCAACAGAGGACTCGATGAAATGTGATGAAATGCAATTTTAGAATTTTCTTCACATTTACAGATGTGTATCTTATTTGAGTGACGGAAATTCAACTTTTTCTTGCAGTAACATTAAAAAACAAAAGACTATGAAAATGCTTCTAATGCCAAACCAAACCAAAGGTCTTTTGGACAACCTTTCCTAGAGAAGCTTCTGTTATTTGACTTACTGTCAGCGAAGTATGAGGCATCATATTATCTGTCTTGCCTGGTGAATAATGAGCAGGATGACAACAAATCAATGTTGCATGTGAACTAACTTGTTAAAGGCCAGACACAAACACCAAATTGCTAATAAAAATACAACGAAGTTCAACACCCACAAAAGCTTGCCAATCTCTGTAACTGAAATAACAAAGCAAAGCATCAGTTTTC